GAAAGGAAAAGAAAAGAAAAGAATCCCCAAAGCATGTCCCAATTCTCCCTTTCCCTTGAACATCTATCCTTCTTCTATTTGGATCATTTAAAAAGAGAAGCCAAATGATAAGACACCAAAAAGTTTGATATTTGGCAACTAAAATGGAACAAAGGTATGATTCTACTATAGCCCATAAGTCCTAAAATCAATTAGAAGCAGTATCCAAGTATTGTATAGTGTATATAGAAGATTTCCCTTATAAATAACTCAAAAAATCTAAAAGCTTTTGTTTTTCCTTCACAAAATGATGGTTTTACTGCATTCCTTCATTGCCCAATACTCCCATAAAAATCTAATTTTTCTTTCAAGAGTAAACCCACTTTCAACCTCATAAAAAATGGGAAAAAAAGAAAAATTCAATCCAACAAAATCGATGACCATTGGAAAGGGAGAAATCGAGTTCAAATGAATTAACAACATTTCACACAGCAAGTGTAGGCAAAATTTAAAATCAAAGTTAAAGAAGCTAAAAAAACCACTCTAAAAGATATTCAAATTATTGATTAAGAATACTTAAACAAGCATAAAATTAAAAAAAATAAAACATATTAATCTAGATTAACATCTAAAAGTCCCTAAAGTTAGCACTAGAAAAGAGATCTCCATATTAATTTTATATCTTTAATCATATGAGATTCAACATAAGTATCTAAAATTAGGAAAAATTAGTTCTTTTTTTGAAAAATAAAAATAGGGATATATTAAAAACTAGAGCCACATGACAAGGGTTTAAGGTGTACCTCTCAATACGATACATCCACCTAAAATTAATTGGCCCACCAAATTTTGTCTCATTCGCAAAGTGGATAGCCAAATGAACCATGATGGTGAAAAATGAAGGAAGAAATATCTTTTCCATCTCACAGAAGGTAATTGCAATTCTAGACTCAAGCAAATCAAGGTCCCTCTCACATACTACCTAAGAACAAATATTCTTAAAATAGTTACAAAAGTCAATTATGGTTGAGCATACTTTGTCTAGCAAAGACTTATGCAATGTAATAGAGAGAAGTTCAAGCATCAACACATAGCAACCATGAATTTTGAGTCCAATTAATCTGTGTGCTTTAAGTTGAACACAATGTGATACATTTGATGACAGTTCATCTGAGGATTGGAGATCCTTGAGAACTTTAAAGAAGGCATCTTTTTCTTTGGACGTCAATTGGTAGCAAGCTTTTGACAAGTACTTTGTATTACTATGCAAGTGCACCTTGGGATGGAGGTCATTCCGTATATCCATATCTTCTAAATCACACCATGCTTTGTAATTGTCTTTAGACTTCCCCTACTGCCCTGTGATGGTGCCACAAGTGTTATCAAATATGTTTATCACTGTGTGCTTCACATCAATATTGTGATGTAATAAGAGATGTTCCCAATAAGGTAGTTGAAAGAAGATGCTCTTTTTCTTATAAGGTTGGGTGTTGCCATTGTTGTCTCCATCTTCTAGGCATTCTAATTGCCCTAACACCTTAGACACGGTTACCCTCATAAGTGTTGAATGTGTTTCACAAGTTCCATCAAATGATTGCACATCATGACAGTAAAATGTGGTCAGCTTTTAACCATCGTCCATGACCTATATAACAATACTTTCTATTGTGTACCAACAATAAAGATTCCATATCAAAACTAAAATAAGGGCAGGCTTATATCCCTCTAGCACTATACCCAGAGAGAGCAGAAAGTCTAGGAAGGTCACTAATAGTCCACAATACCACTACATGCATTAGGAAACTTTGATTAATAGAGACATCATAAGTTTTCAATCCTTCTTCTCACAATTCTTTTAATTTTTCTATTAAAGGCTATTAGTATACATCAATCTTATTACTTGGGCCTTTAGGATTAGGAATCAGTAATGTGAGGATGAAATTGGGTTGCTTCATGCACAATCACGAGGGCAAATTATACAGCATCAAGATAACTGTCCATGTGCTGTGAGAAACTGTCATCATCCCAAATGGATTAAAATCATTTGAAGTTAATCCCAAGCGAACATTGTGTGGATTAGCAAAAAATTCTAGATATCAAGAATCTAGATCTTTCCATGTTGAAGAATCTACAGGATGCCTCATCAATCCATCTTTAGTGCACCCTTCTTCTTGCCATTTCATCAAAGAAGCCATCTTTGGACACATGAATAATTTTTGCAACCTTAGTTTTAAAGGAAACCAGTGTAATACCTTTGCAAAAATATTTTTTTTCCTTTGTACTGGTAAAATTCTCAACCCCATCTTCCACAACAACATTACTTTCCTTCCATCTAGAGGCACCACACACATCGCATTCTTGTTGATTTTCACAATCTTTCTAGAATAACAAACAACCATGAGGACAAGCATGCATTTTCTCATACCCTAAATCGAGACCTAAAAATATTTTCTTCATTTCATTACAAGTAGCAAATAGTGTGTTTCCATCAGCTAATGCCTCTTTCAACAACTCCAATAGCATGGATAATGATTTATTACTACACCCACTAGGACATTTTATGTGGTATAACTTTATAATAATACATTTTGATTAAAAATTAGTAGTATTATGAAATATTGTAATTATATTATTTTCATAATTAAATTATAATAAAAATGTAAGATTAGAAATTTATAATTATATTATATCATTAAATAACTAATGTATGCCAATTATTGATTTGTTTTGAGATCTTATTAGTTTGCAAAAACTAAAAGGAAAATAAACCCAGCACACGTAATGATGAAGATCTTGAAGTTGTGGAAGGAATAGTCTCAGGTGGAAAACATCTGGGAGACCGAGTGCATGGTTGGTCGAGATTCGGGAATGGCATTTAAGCATGCAGATGCCACCTCCATGATCAACCTCAGCTTGTCTTGGACTCCTGGCGATGGACGTGGAAACCTGTGATCCAACACATCCTCTAAACAAACATGTGTTTCTGAGAATAAAGACAAAAGCAAAGAGAGAACGTCACCCGAATGTACTCCCCTGATTACTTCCATTGCTTATACACATCACATTTATTTGCTTTCATACGAAGATACGGTTGCTGAGAAATGTGAGTATCTCACCTTTCTTTTGAAGCTGAAGATGATCCCAAGAACTGCTAATGACAAAATGGCTGCACCTAAAAGAGGGAAGACAATAACAAAAGGGATCTTGTTGTTCTTGTGGCCCTTTCGCAAGACATTTTGTTCGCAAGGCATTAATCCTGTGACATTGCCACACAAGCCCTTGTTCCCTTGTAGCGAGGCATTTCGAAATGCTAGGCTGTGAGGAACAAGACCCTGCAACTGATTATAAGAGAGGTCTAAATTCACCACATTCTGAAGACCTTCAAGTTCTTTTGGTATCGTCCCAGTAAGCAAGTTATGACTGAGATCAAGATCTGACAGCTGAAATAATTTGCCCATCTCGATTGGAATACTTTCACT